TATTGTAAGCAGTAGAGTAGCCTTAGTGCTACGATCTGCTGAGATTAAGCCCTTGTCCTTAAGATTTGTTTTTTCCTATTCGCGTAATTGGCAAGTTTTAGGGAATAATTGAATGTGATGTATACAGTCGTCCCCTTCTATAGTCACGCTGTGTACAATCACATCATATAAATCCCTCATTATAAGCACACATTTCGTATACCTATTAATGATATATAAAAATCCTCTTTATAATCACATTGTTTTCACAGATAATCACAAAATTTGGTTCAAGTTTTTGGCCTAATTTAGGATTTGCAATCATTGTAATTCCGGTAAACACTAAATTTGGCCAGAATTTATGAGTCATAATGTTGGCCAACCTCGCTTAATTCCGGCCAAATCACAAAATTTCACAGAATTTACTTTTACACAAAATTTACAAAAAAAAAAAAAAAAAAAAAAAAATTTTCTTTAAATTATATTTTAAGCATTACATAGAATAGTTTTACTTCATCCTTAGGAACGATATTTGGGTAGCTATTTAACGATCACGACGTGTTTTTTCAAAAAAAATAAAATCAAAGAACGTCCGTGTTTTATTAACAAGTCTTTTTTTTTTTTTTCACAATATAACAGTCGGAATTGTATATGAACTTGCTTTTCTTTCTACTACAAACAACAACACATATATGAAAAGACTAAAAAAAAAAAAGATGTTTTAGTGACGAAGCTTATTGACATTTATTATTCTTTATATTATTAAACGCCAACGGTAAGGAAGACAAAGACAGTATATTTGTTTATTTTCGGTAATTTGAATTTTATCATTTTTATGTTTTCATTATTTCTCTTCCAGTAGAACATGTAACGAGAGAATAACGTGCGGTTGTAGTTTGACGTAAGTTACTTGATTTAATTGCAGTTAACAGTGATGAGCCCAGTAAAAGGCATGTTTGATTAGAATTAATTATGAAATCAAAAAGTTCATCGTATGATAAGAACTAATTACTATCCTCTTAATTTACATTTACAATTATCAATCGTTTAACTATAAGGCAAATTGATGAATTTTAACAAATACGACCCCACGATTTGAAAAATGTGACAAGGTGATAAAAAATAACGTATGAAAAAAATCTTTATTGCAATAAGATTAATAAAATGGACGTTAAGGAAATGAGAATAAAGATGATGGTCTGTGAATTACACTCCTAAATCATCTACTAGTAAGTAGTGTAACTGAACATATTGCATTAGTGCATAAATATTAAAGTTACAAACTTGTCATTTCCATGTTTATGCCTATAACTTCCGGTAGTTGTGGCTCCTAAAGTGAGAGATTTAGAATAGCACTTTTTTTTCAGAAATATATATATGATTTCCCTTTCTTGAACTTCCGTAATAACGAAAATTTATGTTAAATGGTTAAAAAAAATTTTCAAAAGTGCTCTCATCGGGAGTATTTTAACTTCAATGATTTATGGATAATGATAATTTGCCTAAGGCTTCACGGATCCGGACTGTTCTACAAAGGCAAGTTAGTAAATGTTAGTTTAAATTTTAAAAATAAATAAAATTAACAATAAATTATCTATTTAGAACCTGCCTTCAAGATTTCAAGGTTCCACCTTTCTATATGGTAAGTTTGAAAATATTAGGTTTTTTTTTATTTTTAAAAATAAAAAATAACTAACGAGATTTTTCATTAGAACTTACCTCCGATCTAGGATTACAAGGATTTGAATAGGTCTATAAAGGTTAACTAATGTTGGTATTTTTTAATTCAATATAAAAAAAATATATACATTCAAAATTATCCATTAGTGCTTACATACAATATCACTTGCATTGCAAAGGCATACAATAATGACATTTATTATATAATTATTTATATTCTAACTTTTTATAATTATTCTTCAGGTGTCAATTGCTCTTGATATTTGTCGGGAATCACTTTTCTTGCATTCCTGCTCATTCCTGCTCCGTACTTCATCACGACAACCGTTGTTGACTTCGAGTTTGGAACCTAAGATTGCAAATCTTGAATATGCAAGTTTACGTAAGACGATGAACCAATTAATAAAACTGAAAGTGTGCATTGGCTTGCTCCCGAAATAATTAGAAACGCTTATTTTCTATGCAACGATAAATGTGAATTTTCAGGTAGGAATGTTAGATTTTCATTCCTTTTTTTTTTAAAAAAAAAAAAATCTTTATTATTAAATCCAATTTTCTTAAAAATATTTTTGGAATGCTTCTTTGGAAATTGATTTTCAAAAAAATTCCTTATGGCATTGGGGTAGGGATCATATAAAAGAATATGTTTTGTCTAAAAAAGAGAGATTACTTATGATAGAGCAAGTCCAGATATTCAAAACCTTACGTTATTTGCAAATTATCGTTTCCGGTAATACATCAATATATGGGAGTTAAGCTATTAAAATCACGTTACAGATCATATGATTTACTATGTTCTAACTCGATTTTAATAGCAAACTTCCCAATATGATATTTATTTTGTTTATGATATATAACTACAATTAGCTTGGCAAGACGATCCCCAAATTCGAACTTCATTACAGCAAATTTTCTTCAAGTTACATGACTTGTATACAACTTCAGAGTAAAATTCTTCACCTGCACTTAAACTTAGATTTGGATGGATATGGAGGTATAGATTTGCCAAATCTGAAAATGGAATCCTATGTTGATGATTTGCAAGAAATCAATCATTTAATTTGCGACAGAATGGGGATGTTTTAATGCACACGCAGAGTTCGGTAATACAAAAGCCAAAACTGAGAAGGTTATTCAGTTCGGGTTGAAACATCAAAATGATTTATACGGCGTCTGATGACGTATTGGCAGATTTACAGTTACGATATGCATTTAGTTTAGTTAGAATACATAGAACTAAATGTAATAAATACGTATTTATTGAATATTTGCAAAAGCTGCCGATAATAATAATAGCGTAGCTCAGTATAATGTAGGGGATTTATATATTGGTGTTACTACAAATGTACCACTTGGCATGAAATATTTAAAATTAGCTGCATCAGCTAGTTGTCCTAGAGCTATTGAATTATTACAACATTATGAGATTATCACTTTTCTTAGCGAAACTAATATTTATGAAGCATCCCAATATAATAAAAACATTTGCAATGCATCAATGGATAGAGTTGATAAGCTGAAATTGCTATTAAAATTACTGTATTAATACTATGGACAAATTTAATACAGAAAAAAAGAATTTGTGTAAACTTTTGGAAGGAATTAGGGATTTAATGAAGGATATCTCACAAGTACAAGATATATCACACATATTTGGTAGTTTAATGAATGATTTTGAGATCGTTGGAAGACCTGAATTTAATCACGACAATTGATCAACCGGAAAGTTATTAAATTTTATTTTTTTTTAAAAAAAGAAATAATTTCCTAAAAATAACTTTTTCCATAATAGAGCCATATTGTCTTACCGAATATTGTGGAGATAATCAACTGATCGTAGGAATATTTTTAAAATCCAAATATATACACCGAATTCCAGATGATGATTTGATGAAACTATGACGTTTCTTACTATGTCAGAAAAGCTCCGAGTCTCTTATAACATTTTGAAATTTTATGGACTCTCCCATATTGATAATGATATTTGAATGGGCTGAATTAGGAAACCTAATATGGGAAGTAGAAGGAACAACAATTAAAGCTGTAAGAAGTGCAATAATTCAGCTCTTGTTGATGAAGGCCAGTTCAAAAGGGAAGCACAAAATTGGTGATAATGCGATGTTTATAATACGTATGATATTTTATGGACTGCAAAGGTAAGAAGTAATGTATTAAATTTTTTTAAAAAAAATTTCCTTTTTATTCTTTTATTAGGGTTTATATTCTGCATTAATGTTCGATCCTTCATCATGTTATTCGTTGCGCAAACGTTATGATAACGTTATAATACATTATCTCGAAGTTCATTTTCCCGAATGGACGTTTTCCCGAAATTTTTGACCTACATTATGATAACTCTGCCCGAAGTTTTCGGGAAAACGTCCATTCGGGATAATGTTGGACATCGATAAATCAATAACATGGTCTGATTTGAATTTAATTCTCATAAATGGATTCGAGCTGGAAATTTTTGATCAGTGTATAAAGCATATTGGGGATCATGTACAGTAGTTTATAAAAATTTATTCAACATCAAATACAATTACATGTAGAGCACATAATTGTGAAAATATTATTCGAGTTTTAGGAATAAGTTAAAGTAAGTTTTGAGATATATTATTCATTTATTGTAAAATACTTTGAATAATATATATATTTTAGGTTTAAATAGTAAATATTCTATTGTTATGGAATATGCTAATGAAAGTGATTTAAGAATAAGAATGTATTTTTCAAAACGGAATAAAATCTTTGAACAAAAGGATTACAATATTTGCATTAAGAAAAGTATATTTTTAATTTTATATATATATTTGTGTAATTTTATTATTAAATTTCATATCCTAGCTTGCTAATGATATAGTAATACATAAAGGGAAAGCAAAACTTACAGATTTTGGATATTCAATAAGTGTTTGTACAACGAAATACTTGGCATACTTAGCTAAAGGCCGACAAAAAAAAACAGATCCTTATACAAAATATTCTGATGTTATAGTTAGGGGTTTTACTATGGGAGTTATCAAGCGGTAAAGCTCCTCATGAAAATCAATATGATCATTTAATAAATTATAAAATTTTGCTAGGAGATAGGGATAAAAGGCAGATACTCCTGATGAATGAATACGAATTATATAATAAATTTTGGGATAAAGAGCATGATAATGATGTATAGGAGAAATTAATATAAGAATATAAAATAATCGAGAAAATGAAAGTAAAATAGATTTATGCATTTCATTAATCCTTATTTTCAGAAATACTTTTCACTTTCATTGCCAGATACAATTGATTCCTCAACAATTTTACCATCAAATACTTCATTAATTATGAATCCACCGGAATTGGAAAAAAGTATTAATGCTGATGAGGAATAACCTATACTAACTTTTATTTGATCTAAATAAATTATATTAAATTATTAGATTTTGTTTTACAGAACAAATATTGTCTCTTAACTTTAATCTTTTAATTGCCATTTAAAAATAAACCTGAATCAAAAAGAAAGTTTTCAATCAAATGATTTATTATTATTTAAATCAATAAAAGCTGACTGTTAAAATGATTATATTCACAATGTCTGGAACAAGCAGCGGATGATTAATTAATTAATCAATGTTGAAAACCAATTGTAATTAGTCAAAATTAAAATTCCTGTTACTTTAAAAAAAATTTGAAAGGATTTCATGAACTTCTCATTATAACTTGGAAAGTTATTTGAGTTAAAACGGTATGTATTAATTCTCATATAAACTAAAAAGTTCGTTCATTATAACTTGAGATATTTTTGGGCGAATTTCTAAAAGAATGAAAAATAAATCTGCGATAACTTCAATCAATCAATTAAAGCATTATATTATAGTTATTGAATGCAAATCAAAGTTCAATCATGTATTTATGGATAATTCAAATTTAATGTCATTCAATCACTATTCTTCAATTTCAAAATTTACCTTGATTTGTAAAAAGTAAAGTTGAACTGAATATTAATGCAAAGACATATTGGTATATGGTAAATTAGCACAGGTAATTAAGTTCTTAAAGACGATACATTTCACAAATATTACTAATAATTGTTTCTTATCTAGGATATCTTGCAAAAATATATGCAAAGGTAATTAAATAGAATTTTCTGGAATACAGTAAAAATCAAAAAAAAGGGTGTAACACAAGGTTACAAATTATATAGGGTCATGATGAAAAATGTGTTGGCAAGATTTTCGAATTAAATGTCCTCGATAACAATTTATTTATTAAGTATTAAGTATACTATCAAAATACAAAAAAAAAAAAAAAAAAAAAAAAAAAATTCATTTTAAAAAATGAAACCCCTCTTAAAGAATAAAAAGCTAATACAAAGAAGTACTAATAAAGAAAAACTACCTCTTCAAGTTCTCCGGCTAAATAAATAAAAAGCATTACCCGTTACAATGGGGAAAATCGTTATAAATCGTAGAATGGAATCAGAATCAGTTTAGGAATCGGTGTATAAGCTATAGCAACAACAAAAGACGAACAGTAAACTTAAAAGGTTGTACAATGCTGGTTAGCATTTGACCGATCAGATCATATTTACATTTTATTGAGCAAGTGAATTTTTATTTACGGAAAGAATCTTTTTTTTGATTGTTTATATCAAAATTTATATTTGTAAAACGCTTATTTTATCATTACTTATAACAATAAATACAAATTATAATTATCAAATAAATTAAATTTCTGATCATAAATCTGACAACCAGAAATTCTGTAACAGGTGATCTGACCTGATTTAGAGTTATAGTCAATTTTATTGCACTTATAATCTTTAATACACAAATTTGTCTAGTAAAGTGTATTTGCTTTGGCAGATAAATTAATTTAAATCTTTTTAACAAGTTATGCATATATCCTTTGGCAATAGTGATTAGAACCGGCCTAAATAACTTTAACTGGTTAATAACCAGTCCAGTAAAAAATTCGTTAACCGGTTAATTAACTGGTTAAAAATTAGCTCAATCTTAATATTGTTCGTAAAAAAATTATTTTTAATACATTAATAACATTTGGTTCTTTATGCTATTAATTATTATACTACTATGCTTCTTTGATAAATCTAGTGTCTTTTATTTTTTAAGCCATGCGTGCATTCATGCTAATGCCTCATACCTATTTTTTTGCTGCCAAATAAGTATTTTGAATAAATTCATCGATAACCGATCATATCATATAAAACTTTACAGAAGCTTTGTTTCCTTATTAGGCTGCGATTAAGTTACTACTAAGTAAGGTAGTAACTATATATATATATTTACTATAATAGTCACTTTGCAATTACTGCGTATTAAGAAAACCAAGTTTCTGTAATCATATAATATTACGCCCTTTATTTATTCAGCGAATTAGGAATTTGAAAGTGCGGCTTTTAAAAAAAATATAAGAGACAAGCTATCGGTGTAAAATGAGAGATTACTTTCCTTTTTTAGAAAAAGTATAATTAGTTGAATTTTTTTTAAAACTTTTCGTAAATTAAATGTCGATCATGATACCAAACATGTTGTACGATTAAAATTTGGTACACGTGTAATATCGGAGATCGGTGTTAAATAAGCAACTAACGCCAACCATTCTGTGTTACTAAATTATAAATAAGTTAATTTATTTGGTACACAGATTAGTAATTTTGCAAAAAAAACTTCTTTTTACTTGTAAAAATGAAAACCGAAAAAAACAATAATCCCTCCGTTTACATTGATTGGTTAGAAAAGGCAATATCAGAAGACTATATCAAAAACTACGACTATGCAAAGTTCACTAATAAAGAAGAAATTAACAGTGGTTCTTATGGAAATATTTTTCGTGCAAACTGGAACGATTCCGATACCGTTATGGTTCTAAAATCTTCATACAGTTCAGATATTAAAGAAATCGTTAATGAGGTATGCTATTAAAGATATTGCTATGCAATTAATTTTATGATAAAATCTACAAATTTGCTTTAACGTAAATATAATAGATAAAAATGCAACGTGAGGTTGATTATCATGCGAATATCATAAAATTTTATGGAATATCAAAATTAGAAACGGATTCCATTAACCAAATAAATAAGTATTTGTTGGTTATGGAATACGCTGATGGCGGATCATTGCAGTCTTATTTAGAAGAAAATTTTGAAAAATTTGATTGGAATTATAAATATCAATTAGCCTATCAACTTGCAAATGCTGTAGCATGCATGCATAAAGAAGGAATTATTCATTGTGATTTGGTAATGTTGAAGTCATTAAAATATCTTGTTTGATTTAATTGATTGTTTATATTAATTAGTAAGAATATTATACATATAGCATGCACATAATATACTTGTACATCAGAACAATATTAAACTAGCAGACTTTGGTCTATCTCGAAAGATAACTGATACAACTAATCATTCAACAGATGTTTTTGGTGTCGTTCCTTACGTTGATCCAAAATATCTGAATAATATGAGAAATAAAAATAAAGGTCAACTCTATTTATTAAATCCAAAATCTGATGTCTACAGTGTTGGAGTCCTTCTATGGCAAATTTCAAGTGGACATCGACCTTTTTATTCCAAAAATAAAGAATATGATGTAAATTTAGTTATAGATATTATAGAAGCCCGAAGAGAGAAAATAATTAAGGATACTCCTACCAAGTATAGTAACTTATATAAAGGTAAAGATGAACATAACTTTTATTTTTATATAATAATTTTAATTGACAATATTTAAACTTCATTAGCATGTTGGAATGATGATCCAAATAAACGACCAACTATGCAACAAGTTGTTGAATCGCTTAGAGCAATTATTATTGAGGATAA